AACCGCTCTACAATATCCCTTTGAATCCTCACCAAATAATGAAATAAAAGCAATCTAAACTAAAATTGAACTCTATACTTCCCATAAAATTTCCCAAAGGGTCCATACTTCTCCCCTCCTTCGATTGCCTAGAATTGCTCTAAACATCACCAAAGGTCAGCTATATTCATAGCATAACTGTCGAAGCATCTGCTGAAAAACTGTAAAATAATTGTTGGTGCCAATGTTCTGTAGAGCTGGTTGCCTAGGTGATAGGCTCTATGTTTGGTTAAGCTGAAACTAGTACCTAGGCACCAAATGGATAGCGCCAAGGCCCCAGGCTGGAGGGCCTTAGTGCCCAAAGGCTGGCGCCTAGGCGCTAGTCCACTTGGTGTCATACTGCTTCGTTTCACCACCACTTTGTTTTGCTTCTTCGCCATTACGTTCCAAATCTATTATCAGTTGTACATGCAAGAAGACACAAAAATTTCTTTCTTTAAATTGCAATTTCAGCCATAAACAAGTGCAAAAGGTAATGGAAATTAAGTATGCTTTTAGACTTATCAGATCACTTGAGGGCTTTCTTGCACAATAATATATCAAATAGTATAATATCTATAGAAAATTTATAAATTAAGATTGATTTATATAAACACTTTTACATATTTTTCTCACTAAACACTAACCATGTGCTAAAATTTCTTATTTTATGATTGTATATGACATTAGGAATAACATCATATCGAAAAAAAATATTATCCCATAATGGACCTCACAACAAAACTAATTAACTTAGTACATGAGGGTACGCTGCAACATATTTTTTCCCTACTTAATTTGGGTAGGATAATTTATTTTATTCTAAGGTATATGTTTCATACAACTAATATAATTACATTCTAATGGATGTACCCTTCTATGACAAATTTTAATTAAATTAGTGACTCTCATGTTACTAAATATTTTAAAGTTGAGTTTTCAAGAATCTTTATTTTAAAAATTCTATTGAGATGGGCTTAAAATTTGAACATTACTTATCAAATGTTAATGGAGGAAGGGTATAAATCATTAAAAACTTTGAACTCAATAGTTCTTCAAGTTGTCCTATAATTTATGGTTTAAGATTGAGAATTATTACTAATTTAAGCTATTAATTTTATTATCATTTTAAGTTTTTTGATCCTATGACACAAAATCATGAAAAGGTCTAGGAAGTAGTGGACTAAAGCCTCTTGAGATTGAATGATCTATCTTATATTCTACAACTAAAATGATTGACACCATTGAATGATCGAGCACTCATATGATAGCATCGATGAAATGATCTATCTTATATTCTACAACTAAAATGATTGACACCATTGAAGTAGTGGACTAAAGCCTAGTTAAATAGAATACAATAATTTTAATAGAGTTAATATCCACTTGAGATTGAATTTAGCCCGATTATTAAGCAAATGATTCTACTTAGAAAAGGAAGTCAATATCCTGCCTAATATCTCAAAATCATGTGGTCAAGCACATGTAAAAGAGATAGTTAAGATTTTAATTTATTATAAAAAGATTGAGTGAGACTTACAACTTGACTTAATAAATCAAGCACCAAAAATATGTGAGTGTACAAATAAAGTTATCTAATGAAATATTTTAAATCTTTTATTTAATTTAATTTTCTTAGTTGGAGCTTTGAGATGGGTATTCAAAATTAATCATGAAATGCATACATTAAATTTTAAAATTGATTGAGTCTATAAGGTTTTTCTTATAACTTATATGGAGAGGAGCAGTCATTCTCATAGGTTAGATTACCCTTATCTGTGCAATAGGTGAAATGCTTGAAATGTAGGAATCAAACTAATGTGAAATACATATGGTGAGTTAATCTTAACATTCCTTTTTATTTTTTTATTTTTATTTTATAAGGGGATATTGTTTTTGTTTTAATTTTATTTTTATTTTATAAGGGGATATTGTTTTTGTTTTAATTGATTACATTGGGTAAAAAATTTATTTCTTTAGAAGTCTAATGAATCCACCACGTGTCATGCTTAAACACATATAAAAACATGTAAAAATAATAAATAATTCTAATAAAACATAATAAAAAATATGGGAACAAAATAATAAAAATAAAGAATAGGCTGATGTGGTTGAGTACCACAATACACCCCAAAAGAAAAATAACAAATACTTATAAGACCGACAAAATAGAACAAAGGATCGTCTTATGGGACATTTTTTGTCTTCATCTTTGATTCACCTTCTTTTTCATATTGGTACGAGGTACTCTAATTAGTGAAGGCGTCAATAAGATACGTGATTCATCCTAGCTCATCCTAATTCCATAAACCTTCAACCTAGTTCTTATTAAATTTATATAATAAAAATAAAAAACCTAAATAAACTTAGAAAAAAAGGGATAGTATGTAACAAATAAATGTACTACTCCATGTCATCAAATTCAATCATTATAGAATCAGGCGTAGTGGCCACCAATGGGAGCCAAGCCACCTATCTTACCTGTTATGTTTAAGGGCATATACATACATTAATACACAACATTTGCAAGATAATTTATTATTTTTAATATCACTTTTGCACTTTATTTGGCTTTGTTAATCATGATCACCTAAAAAAAATGTAAAAAACACTTATAATTTTTTTTATAAAACAGTCTAGCACACAGGTACTCATCCTAGCATATAGTCAAGTGCGCCCAACTAACAACACAACATACATAATCAAAACAACACAAAATAATAATACAATGCTCACTTAACCTAATTCTTGGTTAGTGGCCACCTAATTAAATTTGATTTGCATAACTAGTGTGACGTGCTCTAATGAATTTTAGTTCATGTTTCAGATTTAATTTGTAGTAATTGTGTGATTTTATTTTAAATGATTAATACTTAAATGTATTTATTAACATTAATTTTAACTTAAAATATTAAAGACTATTGGGATTATTAATGGGTCCTTCTTGGGTTGTGTCTCACCTTAATTGAGTGCACACCGTACTACAATGGATGAGATGTCATCCTAAGGCGTCGAATAAATGATTTAACCCCATTCATTTGAAATATTTTATAATATACATATTGCCCACCTTAGTTGAGTGCACACCATACTAATGGATGAGATGTCATCCTAAGGCGTCGAGTAACCATTCATTTGAAATATTTTATAATATACATATTGCATCATTATTCTATGATTTATATCATATTTATTTATTTATTTATTATTTTTTTGGTCACTTATTTCAAATCTCGATTCAAACTTTGAACTTTGAACCTGCCCCCTTATCAATTCATTGTTCCATTTAATTTTCAAAAACTTAAGTCCTATTACAAAAAAGGCCACCTCACTCCATCATTAAGATAAAATAAAGGAGAAATAGGAATTAAGCCATCATTTTGGTTTTTTTATAGCTAAGAAAAATAAATTTAAAGTTTTCGTATCATTTAATATTGCAAATGATAGGATTAGTTTTAACCATGCTTAAATGTACACAAATTATACACACAACTCACAGAGAGAAAAAAGGAGAGAGAAGAAAAGGAAATAGATTTACGGGTAAATTTGTCTTCTTGTTGGAGGTCCATTCATCTTTCCAGAAATTTATTTAAGATAAGAAATTAACATTTATATGTAGCAGTAAACTTTATTTACTTGCAACAACAAACTCAAAACTCAAATTTGATTGTAACAACAAACTCGGATTCATCCGCAATAATAGATTTAGATTCATGTTACAGCAATAAATTCAAATTTTCCTACTAAAGCAAACACAATAGCATTCATCTACAACAACGAACCTGATTATCAAAACTATAAATAAGCAAAGTGCAAATGGACATGATGTTAAAAGTGCTTACCAAAAGAATGGCTATGTATGCACTTTAAAAAATAGAACCTTTATGTCAGTAAATGAATCTAAGTCACTTTCAAATGATTGTGAATCTCTTAATTACATTAAAATCATGTAAACATTATGTGTGTGAGGAAATAAAGGTATTGCTGGTGCTTTGAAAGTATGATAATCATTAAACAAAAAATTCCATTGGTATGAATACACTTTTTCAAAATGGGTATATGCATGGTATCTATAAAAAGTGCATTAGTCATCAAACTCTAACACAAACATATATTAATTTTCAATCTTTTCTGAAAAAAAGAAAAAAAAGATGACAATTTTATAATGTTTTATGCACCTTTCAAGAATCTAAATTATATATTGTTGTTTTGAGATGCCGATAATTGCCTCAAAAAACATGATGGCTTTTTAAAGGAACTCAATGTCTTACAACAATACTCAAATAAATTTTGATAAGCATGTTATTATTTGGATAAAAATGAAGAGGATTCTAAAAGGTTCGAGTTTACTTAGAATATTTAAATTCATAAGGTATTATTTCAAAAAAATATACAATTATCTTACAAAACTAGTTAACTTTGTTTTAAATATTGAAGCTGGTCAAATGTATAGACATGAAGTTAGAGAACATCATGCAAATAAAAAATGAACAATGAACTTGATATCTCAATTAGAGGAGTGTGCAATCACTATGAAAGCTCTCACTTAATTTCAAGTTGACCAACATGTGTTTGCATGAAGTTCCCAAGTAGCTTGCATTATCGATAAAGTATGGCTCTGTTTGGCGCAGCTGCAGATTTCTAGGTTTTCAGCTGTAGCTGCCCCAGGAAGCTGTTGTGGGGAAGCTGCTGCGGGGAAGCTGACTCGTTGTTTGTTGCAGCTGTGTGAAAACAACTGTGAGGCAGATGTTTCTTAAAAAATGACAATTTTGCTCCTGTTTAGTTAAACTGTTTAGAACAGAACAATGACAATCTTATATATGATACAACGGAAGTAGAAATTCACTTTACAAGCTAAAAATGTAACAAATATACTACTATAATTTTTAGTCAATTCCAAAAGCCATAAATTTGATACTCTTAAGAAAAAATTTCAAACAAAAACAATTCAAAATTAAATATATTCAGCTCACGTCACACTGAGTATCAAGAGAGTAAAATAAAGTCTAAAACAATTACAATGACAATTAATAAGATGATTATATTGTTTTAACATTTTGACGGCGTAGCTTCTATGCTAGACTTTCCTCAAAAGATATTCTTCACTCTCGATCATGTACAACAGAAGGAAAAATAAAATCAAGCAAATGTAAAGGTAAAAAATAAGTTCCTATTTTGTACAGTCTTTTGGAAGATTTGCATACATACCACTCAGTTCATATGTATTTACACTTAAACTTTAAATTTTTCATATATAAAAGCATCAATAAGTTCAATCTAATCAAGCTAATTTATATCAAAATAAAAGGATTCAACTTTATATCAACTTCCATATGGAGACTTAAAAATGCTTTAGACAAAAAGTTTGAAAGGAGAGAGCCTTCTTTAAGGATTAACAACAGAACCTATACAATTTAAACTTACATATTTTATTTAATTCACCAAGTTCGAATCACATCATTTTTTTGATAGATGAATTGCTCCAATAAATTATGTTAAAAAGTATACAACATAAACTGCAAGGTATGTCCATCATAATGAAGAATAAACTCAATATAATAAATTATGCCTCCTTATGTGTCCATCATAATGAAGATCAACTGCTTTCGCAAGGAGAATGTGGAAAGAAATAAGATCATAAAATTCTCTCCTTATATAACTAAACCCAACCCTGTCAATCTTAAGTTTTCAAGGTCATAGGAGTACGATCACTGCACTAGATGTAGACAATTGTTCAATTAATAAGTTAAAGGTAAATGGATGCTCAGGATGTGAGTTATAATCCTGTTGCTCATTAGATGCATTTGCGCTAGCATTTACTGCATTTGGCTCATCATATTTTGTATTTAGTAATTTTTTTATCCTATGATTTTTTGGTTTCTTGAACTCACTCTTCGGAACAATACATTTAACTCGCTTATAATATTGTCAAGGTTGCCTACTCGCTTTGGTGAAGCAACTCTATTTAACTAAGTAATGCCTTATCTGTTTTATTTTAGTTGGGGCCTAATCATAATAAAAACATAAGTTATGAAATTACGTAGCAACAAAATACTTTCAATCCTCCTTGATGTAGCTTTTGGCAACAATTAGTACAGGAATATAAAAATAAAGTAATACATGAGTGAATCACAGTAAAAAATAAAAGAATGTACCTGAGGGTTAAATTTTGATAAGCACTCTAGGTAAGGGCTATTCATACATGGAAGAATCTCTCATCATAGAGCTTCATTCAAAATAAAATAAATAAATAAATAAATAAATAAGGGTAGGTTCACTTAAAATTAGGTTCCACATTGTGATTATAGCAATTAGCTTGAAAATTTTTTCAATACTGAATTAGAAATGACTTAACAACATAAAGTTCCAACTTGAATTTGATTTTACTAATATAAAGAAAATAAGCAAATAACAGATAAAAGATTACCCAGGTAACAAAAGAAAAGTTTGATCAACCCCAAGGTGCCAAATGATAGTGGAAGTGTCCTCTCTTTGCTCCTTAGCTATCAGTGTAGTCTCACATACCAAAATTAAATTTTAGCCCTTTGATGGTGGACAATCTAAGCATAAGAATGGCGTTTGAAGTGGCAAGTTAGAGTGTGAGAATGAACTATTGAGCATGGGATAAAATAATTTAAAGTAAAAAGGACTAAGGTCATTTTCCCCAAAACTAGGTTCAAGGGGCTAACGGTTGGCAGAAAAAAGGAAGAGTGCAGTTTGAGCTTCTTGGACGGCACTCAAATAGAATCTGAGGAGAGATAATCCTTATGTTTAAATGATGCAGATCAGCCTCCGGGCTCAAAGCCATAGCGGATTTCGAAAGAGAGAGAATAGAAGTTTGTGTTCTGCTCGCGCCCTGAAAATTTTAGCGAGGTTACCTGGCTCTTCGAGGAAGAAGAAGTTGTATGTTGCTTGGCTTGTCGAGGAAGAAGAAGGTGCAGGAGGAGAAGGCTCGGGAACACTAGGCGGGAAGCGTTTGCGTAAGAAGAGGATTGCGGAGCCTAAGGTAATATTAGTGGGGCGAACGCGGGGTCGCAGGGTCGATCCCGCGTCCTGCTTTCCACCAACTCTAGCGATGTGTCGCCGTGCCGTGAAATTGGCATTCAACCGACCGAATGTCACGATTTAGGACCACGTGGGAAAAAAGTGGCCCCAAACAGAGCCTATGTTTGTAAATCCCACTTTTCATGTTTAATCTTCTTTTTTATGAAGACTAGAGTTGATAAGACTTATGCAGTTGTGGTAAAATAATAATTAAATTTCTCATCAAATAATAATCTAAGCTAATCATTTAGTTAAGTGTCTAATAATTGTTTAAAAAATCCGTAGTGTTTTAATTTTTTTATAGATGACATTTAAGGTTTTTTTAAGAAAAAAATTTGAAATAAAACTATAAATATCATAAAAATATAATAATGAGTTGCACTTACAGACCAGATTCTCTGCAATCAATGGAAGTCAATAAAGTCTAAGGTGATAAAGTATCTGAATAATGATCAGATTTATAGAAAATTAAATCAGAGGATTTCTTATCAAATATCATCAAATCGCAAAATAATTTAATTTAGTTTTAAAATTAAAAAAACACAAAATTCTCTAAAAAATATATTATAATTATTTAAATAAAACTCACAATTTAAAGCCTGAGCAAAAGCTCATTCATCTTCCATATTAGATTATCAATAATGAAAATTCAAAGATTAGTTCATTTTCAAAAGATAATGTCATATCATGCATAGCTCTATGATCAATTTTAAGTATTTAATGTCAATAAGAATATGGCATGTATTTGCACTGTATGATTTTGTCATCAAATGACACTACAAAAAAGAGTGATTCGGAATAGAGTTCTCTAGCTTGGTGATTTATCATAAAATGACATTCATAAATTACAATAATGATTTGAGATATAAATTTTCTAATGGTCCAATCATTCGAGGGTGAATTATAAAGTACACTTAATATGCATAAAGCTCAATGCTTACTTAAGTCAACTTAAAACATACATACATCCAACACAATGCTACAAGTTGTTTTCGGACAATGCAACCATTACTTCTAATGATCCATCAATTAGTTTGACTTGATTACCTCTTATGACTACATAAACTAGTGTCTAAGATAATTTGAAACAATAGAAAATGACATCTTGATCATCATTATCCCAATTTGCTCAATGATGATGGAGGTGATTTTACTCAATAAAAAATCATAATCTTGCTACTATAAAAAAAAAAAAAATAACCTTAATTAAAAGTTCTCTCTTATCATTGAGATGAATAATTAAGTTGAGGGATTTGTGACTATAAAAAACTTGGGATTAAATCTTAAAATTTTAGAAAATTAAAGTAAAAATCATTGGGCAATGTCTTAATCTAAATTTTAATTGGTCTCCTAAAATTTTGCTCTATCACTCTAAAATCTCTAAAAGAGACGGATGTAAGTTTTTGGAGCATATAATATCATTCCTACAATGTTTTCCTTTTTTTTTTTTTGCATCAAAATGTGATTGGTTTCCAGTCAGAAAATGAATGAAAATTTGTGCTTAATTAAATCAAGATTGTGAGCCACATCAAAACTAGTTATCCAACTCATTTTTAACTCATAAAACTTAAACATATAGTTTATGACCCACCCTTCAAAATTTTTTTTTGCATCAACAGACTTCACCTAATTGATATGGAACTAAATGCATTCCTTTAGGTGACATGATACCTAGAAAAATGAATCGATTACCGTTGAAAGAAATGATCTTTATATTTGATTTCTTGTCTTTCATCCCCAAAAGCAAATTGGGTTGCTTGCACAATTTCATTTTAACTTCAATTGATTCAAAATACTTATTAAGGCCAATTTAATATATTCTCTAATTCAAAGCGTAATCTTATTTTTCTGGTTATCAATTTGCGTACTTCCGTCAGGAATTCAAATTGAAATGTCACTAACCTCCTTTATGAAGCTTCAAAGTCAATTTTCAGAGAATATAGCTAAGTAAAATAAGAAAATGATAGGGGGCATGTACATGCCAAAAACCCAATTCATATTTATTTACATAATAATCACCTAAAATTTACTTTTTATATATATGCAAATCTTTAATATCACAGAAAAAATATCACTATTTTAACTTTAAAAAAAGTGATACACATTAAAGAATAGAAAAGGTGACATGCTAATGTAAAGGTTGGGGGCCTTGGAATGATAACAGTTGGAACAAGAAGATACCAAAGCAGTTACTTGGACATGATTAGATGAACTTCATCTCCAGTATTCATGTGAATCATGTGAAAATGCATATTCATAATTAAAGGTAATATTGGTAATACTATTGTTTTTTGCTAATTCTTTTCAATCTTTTCAGGGTATGGACCTAAAATGGAATTGGATTATATGGGTGAAACCTTCTCATTTTTTCTTTATTTGGAGTCTCGTCCATAATATTTTACCTACGAATGATATACTTAAACTTAAAGGTCTTAGGATTCCTTCATGTTGTTTACTGTGTAGAGAGTATGAGGAAACTATTAACCATCTTCTTATTGAGTGCAGGTTTGTGGAGGATATTTGGCAGAAAATCGTTGGTCTTTTAATAGAGTTGGAATGTGGGTAATTATAATGACATTATGGGTATTTATGAAAACTTAAAGTCTCTAAGACATGTTTTTTTCACTAATAACCCTTATAGTTTTTTTGATTTATTTGGTTTACTCAAAATAACATTAAATTTCATAAGGAGATACCTAATGTTAATCATACTTTAGTATGATTAACAGTTCTTTCTATCAATCTTACATTTAATGGTAATAAAGGGAAAAAAAATAATAAATTAGATGAGGTATATGTTAAATTCAAGATTGATCTCAATCCTTTTGTTACAAGAAACAACTTTGTTTCTTGGTCCAAGCCGTATGCATCTTATATTAAAATTAATATAGACAGTAGTTGAAAATATAATATAGCTGATGTTGGAAGTGTTTGTAGGGATTTTTTTGGATCTGTTATCTGTTGGTTTACGTCTTCGTCTGTTCTTCTATCTCCTTTAGTGGTAGAAACGAATGCAGTTGTGTTTGGTTTATTAATAGCTAAAAAGTTCGAATGAAATTTTATCAATATATAAACGGACTCTTTATTATTATGGAATAATTGCTGAAGGGCATCAATGGAGCATAAAAAAACAAATGAAGAAGATTATGGATTTAACCAACGGAACTAGCTTGTGTTGGGCTCATAAGAGAAGGGATAAAAACAATGCAGCTAATTGGGCTGCTAAGCTAGGGAGCTTTATTAGATATGTTATTTCTAAAAATGTTCCTATGATTCTTAAGCATCTTGTTTATGCTGATTTACTTTAATCTATTTATTGGTTTTTATTTTCCTTGGGCTCATAGTAAAAGTGAATTGTATTTTTCTTTTTTCAGGGAGAAGAGCCTTTGATTTTTTTCTCTTCTTAAGTGAGTTGTTTAGGATGTGTAGTACTTTCCACTTGCCTTTTACAATATTTTTTTTTAAGTTGAAATAAAATTTCCTACAGAGCTTACTAAAAATAATATGACATTCAAGAACTATTATTTTCATGTTAAATATGTAAATACAAAAGAATCGAGCGGTATGCATGTAAATCTTTAAAAAAAAAAAGCATAAAAAAAGGCTCGAGTGCATTTCAAATCAAGCATACTACGCTCGATATGATTTCATCTTCACTCAAAATCAAATTCAATAGTTGGCTTAACAGTTTGAAAATATGGAAAAATTATTGGTTTGGTGCTTGTCTTTTGGAAAAGGCCATGGACCATTTTGCCAAACAATTTTTTCGTATTCTTATAGCTTTGAAAAATTAAAAGAAAATCATTTTGAGACTTGATAAGCTGATAACGAAAGAAATCAAGCCAGCTTGTACTTGCGACTTGCATATGGTGTTCCATTTGCCTCTTGACCAATCCTTCCAAGCCACATGCATCCGAATTTCACACCAACCAAAGAGGCCGACGTTTAGTCTAATTTTACAACACCTGCAAGATTTATATTTAAATGCTAGATACAAAATTAAAGAAATTCATAAGAACTTGGCATTAGACAACCATACAAATACAATATTAGGAATTCATCCAGCTTCCTAGTTTTAATAACTTCTCACTTTATCCCAAGTGCGGCATTCACTGGAGTAGTTTGTCACACCCCAGATATTAGAGCAGTCAAACTGGCGGGTCAAGCTGAAACATAACCTTTAAATGAGGGAAGAAAACATGGAAATTTTATTCAAATTAGTCAACAGCTCTGTACCAATCCAAAAAATGAGCAATGCTATCATCTCATGAGTTCAATAGTTCTCGAATTTGAACTTATAAATAATATGGACCTCCTCTGCTTATCAAAGCACATTACAGCTCCATTATTTTGATGAATAGCCTCAGAAAGAAAATTCTTCTGGTAATCCTTCGAACCTACCAGATAGAAAACTCTTGTACTTTCCTTTAAGCTCGCCTACTGCATAGATTCAGAAACATTTCAGTATAAGTAATGCAGGGGAAAGCCGTTTTAAAGAAGAGAACAATCTATTACCTTTTGGATCGTTAGCCCCAAGCTGGCTCTTCGGTAAATCAGCTGACAAAGATGACTTCACCAAATTTAAAAGTTCCATGCCTGTGTTTAGAAATACGCAGCAAATAAAATCAGATGAACCTAGGGCAGGGCACTATTCAATAGCTCCACTGAAATTTTTGCCATATAAAAAATATCACTTTTTCTTTCTAATTCAATCAGTGACATAGCAGCACCAATCCAAACGAGTCCAAACTCAATTTACATTATTAGAGACTATTTGCTGTCTTACCATTAATGTGTTTACCACCGTCATTGACATTAATCAAGAAGGCTGGGATTTCACTATCCTTTAACTGTAAAGAGAGAGAAATCAAACAAGTTACTGTAATGATAATAATAATATGACTTCACAATGCAAATGGGCTTAGGCACATACTTGGGAATGCAATGAAATTGCAAGAGCTAGGGGTTCAATGGGGAATGGGCCTTTAATATATGCTGGCAAGAACTTTCCATCCTGATAACCTGCCAGGAAATGATAAGCAGCTTGTCCTGTTGATAGCTTCGATATGGAGGGTAGGGCACCGGTGCTGCAGCCAGGATTGAAAATTGTTAAGTGTTAGATTCAGTAAAATAATCTCCATCTCACGCACTACTTTTTCCAAAGGCTTTATCCATAAATAATAATATTAGAACATTATAAGCTTAACTGTAAACCTCAGATTTTGATGGTCCTGGTTTTGTAGGATTCATCTATGAATTAATTATTACATTTGCACAACATCTTAAATTTTACGGATTGATAGGATTTATAGATTGATCAAGTTAGTGGATAGATTAATAATGTTATCAAAGAGGAAGATTATGTTTATGCATTTTAAATCATAATGTATAAATGTAATATTTTACAAATGCATGCTTTTAGAAAGGTATACAGTTGGTAAGCATACCATTGGGCATGATTTGCTATGTATGCCCTGTATTTTTAATTCATGTAAACGAGTGTTCGAAACAGATAACTGTTGTGAGCCTGTGATTGGATACTAAAATAGTCTTATCGAACCATATTTTGCTCGTCCCTACAGCATTAGTATTATTTTTCAGATGGTCATAGCCTTTTTCAAGTAGGATTATCAACAAATGAGTATCTAGGAAACAGATAACTGTTTGTGAGCCTATGATTGGATACTAAAATAGTCCTATTGAACCATGTTCTGCTTATCCCTACAGCATTAGTATTATTTTTCAGATGGTCATAGCCTTTTTCAAGTAGGATTATCAACAAATGAGTATCTATCTGGTTCTGCAGCAAAAGCTAATGAGATTAATTGAATACTGTAGTTTATTGCTTTAAGCTTTTTTTTAATTAAATTTACTCATGTTCTAATAAGGTGTTACATAGGCTATTGGAGCATAATAAAGTGTTAATATTGTATTATTCGAGAGTCCACGTGGTAAATTAATTTCGCTTAAATCATTGAGTGCTAAATCGAGTACCTTATATTATGTCATTCTAGTTTTGCTATTATTGTTGTACATAATCTAATAAATATAATGATACTTCAGTGTTTATAAGTCACTTAGGGATATGAATCAAATATTTTGATAATATTTCATGAATCATAAATTACTTTAAGAGGTGAATCAAATTACTTAGTTAGCATTCTATTTCTCACTGTTGATTGTAATGAAAAATTTGGTGATCAATTTCTTCAAGGGGACAGTATTATTATAATTTAATTTTTTGGCTTACTTCGATAATTATGACATTTATTAATTTATTTTGAGCTATTTGTAGATACTGCTAAGAATGTTGATTGCGTATTCACTTTTAAAAAGGCATATTTGCTGAAATCCTGAATTTCAAAATTTACTATGATGTCCTCCAAGCCGGAAGAAAGCACAGAACCTTCAAAGAGGTAGAGAGATTTGTGCGAACTTTGAGGAAATGGATATTCAAAAAATTTAATATGATGGCCTCCAAGCCGGAAGAAAGCACAGAACCTTCAAAGAGGTAGAGAGATTTGTGCGAACTTTGAGGAAATGGATATTTAGCCAAAAATTTATTCTCTTCTGTTGTTCTACCCACTGATTTATGGTTTTAAGCTCAAAGATTTGTTGAGATTTTATCTATGAACGATGGCATAAAAAAGCTATAAATAAATCTTAGACTTCGATAACTAAGTATCATAGCATTTTAATAGTGATTGATATGCATAATAATCATTGTAAAAAATGGTCTTAAGTGGAAGGAACAGTGACGTGGGGCGTCAAGTGTCACAGCAATTGCCGCATCCCCACACATGGTCCAGCTCAATTGAGGCATAGGTGGATAGACCGGCACTCCCAGGCATAGAATTGCCGCCTATTGCAAGTGGGGTCCACTACCAGTTACCATAAAACTATATATGATGCATTTGCCATATTTTATGTTAGTTTTTCTACATGTTTGTTCGGGGCAGTCATCAACGTCTATCCAAGGGTTCGAGTGGTGCTCCGGCTGTATAACGCTCCCAATGTGATGGTTATCCTTCCCCCACCCTTCTCAAACCTTCCTGCATCGCTCCTTGTCATCGTTCGTCGCTGCCACCATCCTGAACTGCCGCCCCTCACTGTTTTCCTACAGTTCCGCCAGCCATCTTCCAGCTGTTTTCCCCGCAGTCAATTCATTTCCATACATGCAGCTGCCCAGGTGAACAAGCGACCGCTGTCTTGCTGCAGCTTTCCCAGCAACCAAGCCTTTCCCTGCTTGTTGCCGCCCCGGACAACAAGCTACGGCTGTCTTGCCACTATTTCCCCGCAATCCAGACCCTTTCCCATCTTGCCGCAACTGTCCAGTTCACTAACCACCCCATCACTGCCTCTAGAGGCCCAAGCCCTAGCCTACACCCCCTCCACATTGGGTCTATCACCGTTTTAGGGTGTTGAGTTTTTGTTTGTTGTAATTTCATTTTTCCGTTTGTTTGGCTGTAATTCCCAATTTGAATTCAGCAATAATATTTTATTTCTCATTGTTGTTTGATTAAACTCCAGTATCATTTGACATCAGAAGCTATTCTAACCCTAGTACTATCCTAGGGTTACCAAAATCAGCCCCAAAACTTTTTTCCCTCTAAACCACCCTATACACCATTTTCACTCCTCCAAACCTAAACCCTAACCATGCCACCAAAAAGACAAGTGTCAGAAGCCGTTCAGCATCTTACAATGGAAGAGGTGCAATGAGAACTCCACTGATATCAACAAAGGCTTGCTAAAATTGCGTAAGGGACAAGGAGATCGTGGTAGCGAAACTTGAGGGATAAAAATTTGAATCCCTTCCGTAGAGATGATTACAGCGAAGAGAAAGGCAGGCGGCAATGCTTTGGGATTAAGTATCCGAAGAGGCCTAGGGATGAAGTGTCATTTAGAGGGCTGAGATATCTAGGAGTTAAAGTATACCTACCAAATTTCGAAGGAGAAAGAATATGGATGACTTCAAGGAGATCGTGGTAGCGAGACTTGAGGGAGAAAAATTTGAATCCCTTCCGTAGAGATGATTACAGTGAAGAGAAAGGCAGGCGACGATGCTTTGGGATTAAGTATCCAAAGAGGCCTAGGGATGAAGTGTCATTTAGAGGGCTGAGATATCTAGGAGTTAAAGTATACCTACCAAATTTCGAAGGAGAAAGAATATGGATGACTTCAATGAGTGGTTGTAGACTATGGAGATGATATTTTAATAAGAGGTTCTAATTGACATAAAAGTGAAACATGCTGCCATCAAGACGAAGAAAAGTGCCTTTTTGGCTAGAAGAATCTGAAGAGTGAGTGATATCAGAGAAAAAAGACCGAAACCACAAGAAAAACTTTCATTAAAAGGGAAATAGAGTTACACAACACACACAAACTGTAAATAACATCACGAACACAAAAAACGACACAACAAACACCTCGAGAGTGCATCCAAAGGGCAATGGAGGTTACTAGGTGGATCGAAATGACGAGCGGGGGTGGCGGCAGCAAAGGCGATGTGAGAACTCCAAGAACAGCTAGAGGATTGGCTGCCATGTGCGACTACAACAATAAATTGGGGCGAAAACGACATGAACAACAATGGTTAGTTGTCTCGAGGCGACGGCAGCAAGGATGGGTGGGTCAGATGGGGGTAGTTTAGGGTGGCGGGAAGTTGCTGGAGGCAAAGTAGACTGCTGGAAACAGGAAGAAGGAAGATACAGACACCATTGAGGAAAGGGATATAGCCATAGCACCACCCTAACCATTGGAAACAGCCCTCGAGAGGGAAGAAGACTCCACACAGAAAATTTGAAAAAAAAACTACACTAAACACTAAATCTAAACTCAGAAACAAGCATATAAATAGCCTCCAAGCAAGAAAGAACATAAAAGGAAGGAGGGTTGGCAACATTGCTACACTTCCTACAATGCCGCTCAATCGAGCGGGAGGCAAAAAAAGCAGGGAGTGAGACGCGGGAGGTTGCTCGCACCATCAAGGATCTCGCCCCGGCCGCTCAGCCCGGGATTCCCTTGGACCGGTCTTCAACAGATCGGTTGGGGTCAGTATAGGGAATTTCATTCCACGTCCAAGCAGGGAAGCTCCACGTTAGCCTTCCGAGGTTGGGAGAACTTCGACTTCATTTGTCGAAGCTTTAAGTTCCTCGTGGCATGGCGCTTCAAGTCCATTGGTAGGTCGATCATATCGGCATTGTCATTCCACTACACATTTTGGTAGAGAAGGTATCCTTCATTTTTTTGGCACATCCTGAGCGGGAGTCTCATATAGAGGTGGGTTCCCGCAATGCAACTCTCGAGCTCTTACATACGAAATCTTCTCCTTCCACTTCTCGTGCCTACCGTGCGGTGGTTGAGTAACATGTAAGGAGAACTCAATTCTGAGTAACAGGCTGTGTCAATCTCACTAGCGAACACTTAGAAGAGACATCTTCAGTGATAGAACCTAGATCCCATTGAAGAATTGTCATCTCCCTCAAACTTCTAGGGCATATTTCAAAGTTTAGGTTCACTCATTCTGTCTAGACATCTGTTCATGGTCACCATGCGGAACATAAAATAAACTCTGAATAACTCTACATGATATTGCCGACATGTTAAACTCTGAATAACTCCACATGAGCTTAGCGGCATGTCACAAACTGAGACCACTTTTGACATCCCGGACCTCCCTCCGTCGGGGCAACTTGAGAGTGGAGGGGAGGGGAGGGGGA